CAATTTACACAATTCGATTGCTTTTTTTATTTCTCGATTTTTTTTCTTTGTGAACAAATATATTCATATATTTTGTAAATAATAAACAATTTACATGCTTCTAGAGGGTTTCTATGCTTTTATAATGCAAATTTTTTACCTACAAATAATTTTTCAATTCATCTTTTGAGTGCTTATGGTGGCAAAGCCATTCGGTATATCCACGTAGTTTATTAGACAAAGTGTGCTTAAAATTGTATTCTTTTTTTGTAAACGTTTAAAACAGTGAATAATATTTTTATTGGGTTGTACCTATTATAAATTGTCTAGTGACAAATTGGACATCTCTGAATCAGTTTGGCGACTACTTAGAGAAGCCAAAACGGTAGGGCGTGGTCATAATCGGCTATTATGTAGAATTGTCTTCCATTAGACCAAAAAATAGCTTTGAGATCGTAATACGAGAGGGAATTAAAAGATAACACTTTGAATTCAATATGGCATTCAATATTCAAAGTATTAGACGCCACATCGGTAAGGCATACAACTCCTTTGCAGTTTGTCTATCTGACGAACAACATGCAAAAAGTGTTAGCTGTGTACTCATTCTCCATTGGCCTAGTTTTTTTCGACACATTCACGCGTTTCCCTGTTCCTCATAGTACTGGCTAACTTCTAAACAGTTTTACCATTGAGGTCATTATACATGTTTTTTCTTGCAGGCTCCCGATCTATCAGGATATGTCTTGAACAGATTTTGTTAAGAAACTAGTGGCGCTAAAACAGCGCCTACTTTCTTGCATTGTTTGTAAAGTGTACGCGATATTATATTTCTACATGCAATATTTTTCCGGATCGACATTCGAACTAAGGCCCTTCGAGTTATCACGCCAGGATCATTACCTCAACACCACCAGCCGTACAGCTGAAACTAACCTTTGCACTCTTTAAATTAATGGTTTCTTGAATTATTTCTAAATTTCGCCATTTTCGAAAATTTAGAGAATTCGACGAAAATGAGACTTGCGCCATTTTTTAAGCGTTCTTTTACCTGTTCAGTAAACGTTTTAAAGAAAAAATTGCTTATTTATATTAAACAATTGGAAGCAAAAATTACTGGCAAAGGTGGCTCAGGGCATCAACTCGTGGCACTGTTGGGCTTCTAACCGGAAGGTTCGAGCTCTCTCAGTAGATAATATGACGCGGCTTGTATTTATAAGGGGACGATTTGCCGTGCGTCATTGAAAATCTGGAACTCTTATCCTTGTGGGGAGAGCAGCAGATCGGGAGAGGTGCCACAGGGCATCAATTGATGTCACTGTAGTGCCTCTCACCGAGATGTCCTAGGCGAGTTTCTAATATATGGGTTGCAGCTTGAGTCTTATTGCTTCTGATTTCTTATCTTCCTGGAGATTTTTCAGCCCTAGAAACAGCTGGGCCTTCCTTGATGTACTATTGAGCTGTATCTTGTTTTTCTAAAGTCCACTTTGCCTTGTCTGGGGCAGTCTTTTTCGAGGATTATTCTGGAAACAAAATAAATCTCAAGGTAATGACCTTGTTTAATTGTGTTTAGATTCAATAATGAACATGCAGGAAAAACAATGGTAGGCTTATCAGAGCAATGCTCCAATTTCTTTTGGTGAATGGATCTCATTACTCCCAATGGTAACGATTTTGTTTAAAAGTAGGGTAAAATAAATCCCCCCGATTTTATCCCGTTCAACTACATGAAGCATGCAATATATTAAGATCCTTAAATAAGCATAATAGCATACTCCCCGACTAAGATATCAGCAGCAAAAAGCACAGGCGAAAACACACAGAGTCGTCTGATAGGCAAATTAAGGGCAACTGTGCCCCCGCTCGTGCTGGGGACGTATGGTGCACTCTAGGGAACCATCAACGCAACTCGCAGGTTTCCAGCGCGCTAAAGTCAAATAACGGGATAAGCTCCTATTACCCGTAGGCTCCCAATCCAACGTTCTCGCCTGCCTAGTACAGCGGCGAGATTTATTTTGACACCAAGAATATAATGTATTGAAATTGGAAATTATGTTCAAACAAGAGTCTTATTTTGGGGTATATATTTTTTGTACGCATCTAAAAAGCATCTTAAACACATAAATGCGTTTTATGCTTTTCCTTCGGCGGTTTTGAGAAAATTGTTGATGGTTTGGTTGCCTTTGCACAAGGCCATCTGGGATTTCTTTCTCTTTTTGCATGACTCCGGCACTAGTCTCTTCTGCTTCGTGTACCTCTTCTGACAAATCTCCTCCCTTCGGTTCACTAGATAGTCGAAGAATGAACTTCTTTTCCTTCTTGTCATTGATAGTACAGCCCAGGATCATTCACGTGACCACCGCTTATGTTGGACGTAAACGTACAATAAACCGTTAGTTATACATGCAACAGTATAAAAATCTGACCCCCAGATGAACCCATGGGCTACGAAAAGGGTCTCCTCCACAATCGTTCAGGGAAAGTTTGCTGCGCATGGGCCTCCGCAGCAGGCGCCTGGTTCATGCTCCCCGGCTGATCGCTGTTCACTGGTGACGAAGGCCGGAATTTGCACGACTCTACCGCAACTGGACGTCCACATCGTGACGGCAGGTGATCTTTTAAGATGAATAACGTTTTCTGCTCCATCGCACAGACGGTCGTCGGCATGAAACGCCTGAACGCAAACACCCTGCAACCATCGCCGGAGGAGGGAGTGTGGGGAATGTTTTTGTGGCATTCTCCTTTTAGTATCATTTTGGAAGGCACAATGGATAAAGGAAAGTACGTAGCCATTTTTGGGAACAATGTCCACCGCTATATGCAGATGCAACGTCCTATATAGCTCGCAGTATACGTGCGTTGTTCGAAGAGCACCAGGATGAGTTTACAGTATTCCCCTGGCCACGAAACTCCCCCGATTAAAACCCAATCGAGAATCTGTGAAACCATCTCGATCGGGTGGTTCGCGCCATGTATCCGCAACCAAGGAACCCAGCACATCCTGCCACAGCTCTGGAGTCGGCATGGTTCCACATCCCGGTCGGTACTATCCAGAACCTAATTGACACTCTTCCTGCACGTCTTGCAACGGTCTGCGCTGCAAAAGACAGATTTTCGGGATTTGGAAGAGTAGTCACAAAAAAAGTGACTGGGCTGTGCGGATAATCCAAGCATTGTCCAGATTGCCGCTATGTCCAGTATCTTATACAACCAGCATCGGTAATCTACATCCAGCTTTGGCACTGTATTTCCGAGTCATATGGTCTACCACGTCTATTCCGTATTTTGTGGAGTTATACAAAGTCACAGTTTTAGGCTTCATATTTCCTTTAACACGGACAGCTACCTTGCGATAACGTGTGCTGAGAAGCATGACGTTCTTTTTCTTTTTGACTGTTTTGACTTTTTGACTGTTGTACAGTTATCGCCTTCTACATTCCAGTTTGTTTGTCTTTCAGCTGAAGCTAAATGTTCAGCAAAGTTGAACATTTATACTTTTTGATTGATTACGACATAGTAAGTGTATAGAGTAATCAATGTTTTTGTTTCTAGCTACATAGCTAGGTCGAATTTAGCCACTGTCTGAAGGACAATTCTAGCAGTCGTTTGCTCTGATCGAAAATTTCCCGTAGTTTCTCCGACCTTTTACCTTACACATCCTTTCTCTTACATGCACTACACTTCTAAATATGGGAAGAGCTAGTCACCGCTGCTGTGACCTGCAGGTGGAAGATACGTGGTTGGGGAAAGCCAGCAAGACGACGTTCTCACCATCCATCTGAGGAAGAACACCGCCACCTCCCATGATAAGAATATGCACTACACTTACCGGACTAATGACCATAACAGTCGTGTACCTAGGGACATCAATCAATCGTTTTGATTCATAATGACATTGTATTGAATCAAAGGAAATATATTACGTATTAATCAATTGGCGGCCATAGAGTGCCAAAGATTTGTCTGACATTTTGGTGAAAATATTTTTTTCTTATATTCGATCTTTCCACAGTCAGTTCTATTGCATTAAAACAAATTTGAAATCGAAATTTAAGAAAACCTTTTATGGACAGTGTTATTCATGTCATTATTAGGCACATCCAAAGTTTTAATCGGGGCTCTTGAAAAATTTTTTCGAAGTCAAATAGAACTATATAATTTCGAGACAGAGAATTAGCTGAATGAGAAGCCACATAAACAAAGAATTATGTATTTTTACTTTTTTGTGGCAGAAACTGAACGGGAATTCCGTGTATTAATTGATTAATCTGAAAATGTTTCAAGGCTGAAGTTTCTACCAAGGGGCAAGAGGATCAATGTGAAGGAAAAGAGCTCGGGACTAATAAGTGGTGGAGATAATATAAGCGAAGCATCACCCTTTTTATTTGTTTTAAAACGGAGGCTGTTGTGCAGTAACGGGCATCACCATTCCCTGAGGGAGAACACAGAGGGACGAGCGTTCCTGCGACCGGAAGGACCTCTCCGGCCTCGGGCCGAGCCGCGCGGCCCCGCTAGGCGAGACGCCTTGGAGTGGCGTGGGGCGCGAGTGCGGCGGGCGGCGTCCGGCCTGCGGCTGGGGCTGCGACTGGGGCGCGCGGGAGGCCGGGCGCTGGCAGCGGCCTGCTCATGCTCTCGTGAGGCGCGCGCGCATGGGGCTCACGCGTCGGCGCTCTGGCGGGGGCGGGGGCCGGGACGGGGTTGGAGTAGGAGCAGGGGCGGAGTGGGGCGGGTAAGGGAGCAGGGCGGGGGCGTGGGAGCGGAGGCAGGGGCGGGGCGGGGTACGGAGGCAGAGGGCACGGGTGGAGTACGGCAGGGCAGGGAGTGGAGTAGGGAGCAGGGGCAAGGGTGGGGTAGGGAGCAGGGCGGAAGTGGCGGGCGGGGTGGGAGCAGGGCGGGGGGGCACGGCGCGGTGAGTGGTAAAGGGACAGACCGGGCGAGTGCGTCGTCCGGGAAGCAGCCGCTCAGACGAAAACACGCCCGCCTTGGCCGGCGTGCAGTCGCCGCGCGTGTACACAGCCCACGCAATCGAAGCGTCGCCGGGTAGCGCGTGTGCTCGCTGCGGATGAGCCGCGCGCCGCACGTCGTCCGGCCGATGGTCGTGTCGCCGCAAGGCCCTTCGCACGCCACACCGCAGCCGCCGCCCGGCCCCGGCACGCCGCACCAGTAACAGGTCGTGATTTGGAAAGAGCCCGTGGTCAAGGCTCTGGCCGCTTCAGGCGGCACGCGACGCTGTTCAAACCGGGGACTCGTGGAAGGCATGGCTACCTGCTGCACACACAACGCCCGAAGCGTTCACTGACTTCAAGCCTAGCCCTACACCTGCCCCTCTCAGCCAGTCCTCACAGCGAGGTACCCGGCGATAGTCCCAACACCATGCCCCCTCAGCCAGTCCTCAACAGGAGGCCTCGGTAGCCCTACACCTGCCCCCCTCTCTAGCAGTCCTCACAGCGAGAGTCCTCCGCGTAGTCACAACACCTGCCCCTCTCAGCCAGTCTCACAGCGAGCGTCCTCCGCGTAGTCCAAACACCTGCCCCTCTCTGCCAGTCCTCCAGCGAGGCCCCTCGGCCTAAGCCCTACACCTGCCCTTCCACTTGCCAGTCCTCACAGTGAGGGCTCTGCCTAGACCCTACACCTGCCCCCCTCTGCCAGTCTCGCACAGCGTAGGCCCTCGGCCGTAGCCCTACACCTGCCCCTCAACTGCCTAGTCCTCACAGTGGGGCCTCGGCCTAGCCACTTACCACCTGCCCCCTCTCAGGCCAGTCCTCACAGCGAGGTCCTCCGCGTAGTCCAACACCTGCCCCCTCTCTGCCAGTCCTCACAGCGAGGCCCTCGGCCTAACCCTACACATGCACCCTCTACTGCCAGTCCTCACAGCGAGACCCTCAGCCTAGCTCTACACCTGCCCCCTCAACTGGCAGTCCTCACAGCGAGGCCCTCAGCCAAGCCCTACACCTGCCCTCTCTGTCAGTCCTCACAGCGAGGCCTTCGGCCTAGCCCTACACCTCCCCATCTACTGCCAGTCCTCATAGCGAGGCCCTCAGCGTAGCCCTACATCTGCCCCCTCTCTGCCAGTCCCCACAGCGAGGCCCTCAGCCTAGCCCTACACCTGCCCCCTCCACTGCCAGTCCTCACAGTGAGGGCCTCGGCCTAGCCCTACACCTGCCCCCTCTCTGCCAGTCCTCACAGCGAGGCCTTCGGCCTAGCCCCACACCTCCCCATCTACTGCCAGTCCTCATAGCGAGGCCCTCAGCCTAGCCCTACACCTCCCCCTGAACTGCCAGTTCTCACAGCGAGGCCCTCAGCCAAGTCTTTCCACCTCCACTGAACGTGTGAACTGCTGTGAAAACTGCAATAGGAATAGTTTTGTTGGCACGTTCTTTTGGCATTCATTCAAAGGATAAAAATTCCGTATTGCTGCATGTTTGATAATTTTAATATTCTCAAACCCACATTCTGAAAATCACCTAATTTCTTCCTATATTAGGAAGTCTATAATAGTCTTAAAAATGTCCCATAGAGTTTCGAAACAGTGGCTACTAGTGGTTAATAAACTGGAGGTTCCAGGTCCATCTAAAGACGGATACGTTATTTACAAAATTCAGAACACTGATGTATACCAAAATGAAAGCAATTCATGTAAATTTATTACAAGTATATTGAATAAAACATAGTGAATTTTATGCACTATGTCCGTGTCAAGAATATTCGCCTCTCGCGCACGTGCTTCTGACTTTGATTTTCAGTGGACATTCACGTCTTTTTACAATTATGTATTGAGACAATTGACATTATAATTTATACAAAAAGAATAAAACAACTTGGTTGAGAATATACGGTGATCGTACTCCTGTACTTTGCAACTAGCACTATTGTTCGGATACGTGTTTCGCAAAAAAAATTATTGTATTTCGAAATTTTCCCTTTATTGGTCCTATATTGTAATAATGAAAGATCTTCCATACATTCTCGAATTTACAACTCTCTCGCACTGAATCTCAGCTGTAACTGCAGCTGGAAATATGCATCCACCATTCGACACAGAGAGGGACTTCCTTCCAGAAAGGCCAACTTTACCAAAAGGAATGATCAAATATACATTTTGAATTAACAACCCTAATCTCAAATGTAAATAATTTCTCCAAACCTCATAAATAATGCATTAAATACCGTCAATACTTGACTGAACCTGTTTCCTTTCAATAACTCGCGAAATTTATAAAATTAAATTACAGCTAGTGTCAGACGAAGAAAGAAAATTGGTATTCCTCTCTGATGCCGCGTAGCGCACCAGTTAGAGGAATATTAGTTTTCTGAAAAACGGGAATATTCGGCGGTACGATATTTTAGTTATGAAATGTTTTCGTTACCTTTATATCCCCGCTTGATCATCATTGTTCAATTTGGCATAAAATATAGAGCTATTGCTGTAATTTTTTATGTACACGCCATTCACATGGTCATTTGTTAAAATTTGTTTAATTTGCTACAGGCCATGATTATAATTAGTTTCTTTCAAAGTTCAAAAGCAAATATCAGTATAATGAAAACCACATTTACGAACTGGAAATGAAGTGAAGAAAGAAGTTGAGAGGGGACGCTTGGGGTGCAGTGCGTACCCACCCATGTGGCCACCTCTTCTTTGGGGACGCGCAGGCGCCCCACGAGCTCCCGTGCTAGCTCGCAGCGGCCGTAGGTGTGGTTGGCGGGCGCGGGAGCAGGCGCGGGGGCGTGGCTGGCGAGGGCGGGGGCGGGGAGCCCGGGAGCGGCCAGCGCCGCGGCCAGCGCCGCACAGAACGCGGCCAGCGCCCTCTGCGTCATCCGGAGCCTCGCCGAAGAAAGCGGCCGCTACGCGAACTTCCCACTCGCCGACTGGCGCGGGCTCTCGGCTCCTCCTGTTTATATACCCGCGGCCGCGACATGTACACACACATGGCGTTTGCACGGGCACGCCGCGGCGTTCCCGTGTTTAGGGGGCGTCGAGATGCACGGCAACGCTTTCGTGTCCGCCGCCAGCGCTCGCGCCTCGCCCGCGCCCTGTTAATTCCCGCCCGCACCTCGCCCGCTCCGCCCGCCCACTCCCGCCCCTCCCACGTCCCGCCTGCCCGCCTCCCCGCCTCCCGTCATTCCACTCCCAGACGGAGACTTTCCGGGTCATCGCAGGACGAAAGAACTCTGCTGGCCTCACGACCCGTTGCGGCACCTTACTCTCAACTTACTCTTAACTCAAAGTACAGAATGAAATCCTTCTTCTACTTTGTACAGTTGATCTGATATTTCTCGCTTTCTCTCTGTCTCCCTCTCCCCCTCTCTTCCTCTCTCCATCTCTTCCTCTCTCCCTCTCTCTTTATGGTGTGGAATGGCAAGAAATCTCAAAAGAACAGAAAAAAACTTTACAACGAATGTATGTTTTGTATATTTTTATGTTCTAACTAAAAATCAAACCAGAAGAAAAATGTCGGGAACAGTTGAATAATTACATGGATGAAATGAGCGTAGAATAAAGCGAGTATATTAATAAAGCAAGCATTAAATCTCGATATGATAAGGCGTAAATGTGTACAAGACTGTTCCAGTGGTATGGGACTTCGTAACTTCGCTTCTGCTTCCAAGATCCTCTTCCCATAACCAGCGAAATGAGAGCTCAACAAAACGTACACAAGGTGAAGATATTTCTATGACCAGAAGCAAAACAAGGGACATCTCAGCCTTTGCTCAATGGGTCAAGGGAAACTGGAGGAAAAAACTAATCGAGATGGCGGTCATTGACTCATCGGCAATAACTCTTACAGCAATGATGGCTCGTGAACGAATGTTGAGGGTAGGCAGCAGACAGCTTTCAGATTACAGCAGCGAACTTGCGCGGGGTGGAGGACACAGGATCGAATGGCCACATCCTTGGTTCCATTTTGTTGTTGTAATTTTGCTTAATTTATTGTCTCAAACAATTTTCTCATAGCATTATATTCTAAAGGATGATTCCCTTTGAACCCGAGTGAAAACCATTTAAAAAATAGTTAATGTTCTAAAAGAATACTAATATTTTTCTTTAAGAAATGCGTGAGACTTAACAGTAATTTGCTTCAAGCTCAAATACTATCAAATTCGCGTCAGTTACAGAATTATATTTTTCCTTTTTCTCTCCAGTACGAAGTTTAACCATACTCAAGTAAGAATAGGTGAACAATTGACCAAAATGTGTAATAAAAATCGAGAAAACGGCCTACGTAGTAGTTCACTCACTTTATAAAATTATTTCAACATAAAAATATTAAGTAACATGCAGATGTTAATTTAAACATATAATAATAATAATAATAATAATAATAATAATAATAATAATAATAATAACTTTCTACGCTAGTTTAGTTCGCAATTACACACACGCGCCTCGGTTCTAATAAGCCAGGAAATCCAGTCCAGTTTGACAGAATTTGTCTGTCAAACGAACCGCGCATGCGGCGAGTGTACAGCCCATTCTGCAGGTCTACGCTCTCCCCACAGCATTTTCTCAAGTGATTTTCTTAGTGATTTTAATAAAATCATAATTGTTAAAATTGTAAGTAATTATTGTTATTTTAAAGCGTGTGTTTTGTCTCCTTGAAAATCAGTGTGAAATATTGGAAATATCGGGGTTTGCTTCTAATCAACTGACATATCTGCTTGTGCACCAAACGTCTGTCGGAGAAATTGAACCCTGTGACAGTACACATCCATGTGACAAGAATTGTGAGAAAACAATACAAATATGTATCTTCATAACATAGCATTTTATATAAGAAGACTTAAATTACTACATTTATTTTCGAAATGTATTCCAAATTTTCCAGTTTTTGAATGAATCGTCCCGATTTTTTCATCGGAAACCAAAATGCTTAAACTCACATTCTAACAATCACTTGTAACAAAATGCATAGAATTATGGCACCTTTTAAACAATATCAATGAATTTCAGCTTACCCAAAAATTTGAAAAAGATAACGAGAAAAGGAGAGACAGAGGAGAGAGAGAGTGAGAGAGAGAGAAAGAGAGAGAAGGAAGAGTGAAAGAGAGAGGGAAACAGAAATGAAGAGAGAGAATGAGAGAAAGAAGATTAAGAGGAAGGGAGAGAAATGGGAAAGGGAAAAAGGAGAAGACAGAAGCAAGCATGAACGGCGGAGGAGACAGACGGAAGAGACAGAGACGGAGACAAATGGACAGTAGACAGAGAAAGGAATGGAGACGAAGGAAACACAGACGGAGGAGGAGACAAATACGAAGGA